CAAAATTTGGGATCAAATTTTACAGTAATCTGCTATGCCTAGGAATACCTTCAGTTGCCTGAGAATTGTAATGGTTTGTCCATTTGTCTGTCTGTTGCTGATTTCCAAGCAGACTTCTTTTTCCAGATAGCAAAAGGAAACCCAAGAATTTCTAAGTCTGCTGATAGATTTGGGTCTTGCAGTAAATGCTTTAAAATCTTCTAGTTTCTAGTTTCCAGAAAGTCATTGACATCCTGCTGTGACATGTCCACTTTCAATATGAGGGCTTTAATTCTTATTGTAGACAAATGGTCCAGAGGTCAAGAGCTTCTGCGGCCCTTCTAGAGGACACAGTTTCCAACAGTCTGGCTCTCAGCTGACAACAGCCTGTAACTTCAGGGGATTCATAGGTTCTTCTGACCTCCTGCAGGCATCAGTGTACACACGCACAAACACACACATTTAGAAAGAAAATTGGCACATCTTGACCCAGCACCTCTCTAAAGATCACTGAATTCTAAAACCAGCCCATGCTCACTCCACCTAAGCTTCCAAAGTACTGGCAGGTATGCAGTTAAGAGTTGTAAATTGCTGAGTCTGGGTCCTGTCACTTAAAAATGAAAAGGATCCTCCAATTCCAATAATAAAAACATAAGCTATATCAGGGAATGTGGTTCACCAGACTGTACTGGAAAAGAGGAGCCTAGTATACAGTTTGCAAAACATCAAGAACTGCCTTGAGGTCCTATATAAATGTATTTATGAGAATGGGGCTTCTCCATTAGTAATACTATTGGCAATGTGTGGATAAGCTACCAGTAAGTCACAGTTCTGAAAATAACTTCATAAATACTGTTTCAATAAAATTTAAATTACCAGTTTATTTTACTTCTGTGCTAATGGCCCTTAGCTCCTCGGATGTACAAACCTCAGGATTTATCTCAGTTGGAACCTCACCAGGCCATACTTGGCAGATACTTCTTCCAGAATGAGTTACCAGGAATGTTCTAGAGGAAACTGCAGATGTTACTGGTGGTCTTCTGGAAAAACAAGTTTGTTTGGCCGTATTTGATGGTACCTGGGAACTTGGAATATAGAGGAATTTGTGTGTTACCTAGGTTTCTAGGCACTCAGGGATTTCATTTTTCTTCTTCACACACACCCTACCATGATTGACTTTACAATAGGCTCACTGAAGATCTCCAAAACTGTTTTAAATGTTGTTGTGTATATGTGTGTGTGTAGCTGTTTTGTCTGCATGTCTGTCTGTGTATCACGTGCTGCCTGGTGCCCATGGAAGCCAGAAGTTGCCATCAGATTCGCTGAGATACGAGTGATTGTGAGCTACTAGGTGGGTGCTATGACTCCAACTTCAGGGGGGAACAGTCAGTGCTCTTAACCACTGAGCCGTCTCTCTGGGCCTGCATTGAAGATCTTCTAAAACCTTATCCTTGTTTCCCCAACTAGCGCTTTGATTCCCAAAGTCCTTTCTTCTTGGAAGATATGGGGGGGGGGTTGACTCTTCCTAAGCTCATGGTTGTTTCACACTGTAAAACAATGTCCCCCAACTGAGAGGGCCATGTCCACACTCTTTCCTACCTTTTGTAATTTCTTCCTAACGTCATGAATACTTCGTGAAGCATAGATCATACCCACCATCACAGCATTTTCCAGGATGTTAGGACCCATATTGGCAATTTCTGATATAATTCATAGAATTGCTTCAAGAATTTGGATGGTCTTCACTGGATTTTGTTGTAACATCAGAACTATGCCTCATCATAGATTTGAGACCACTTTCTAGGTCCTTTGAAGATACATCTCCAATATCTTTCTGAATGTAACTGCTGCCCATTTAGATTCGAATCCCAGTTGTCTTCTAGTCTGGAGGCTGGGAAAAGAACCCTGGCCAGGTGGTTTTGATGCAGGCACCCCGTTTGCTCTTCTGCCCTTAGCCAGTACCAGCCTTCTCAAGGCTGATTATGAGGACAAGCAGGGCCTGAGTGCCTGCCCAGGTAGGGCAAAAGTAAGAAAAATGGAGCTAAGGAAATCTGCCCCTTTTGTGTGGTCTTCCTAGCAAGACGGCCCCAAGTTTTCTTCGTTCAGAAGGTGAATGGTGGAAAGTGTGGGTCCAGTGATACCCCAGTGGCTGGTAATCACGGCCTACACCTGAGGGAGATTTCAAATTTTTTACTTTATTTGTTGTGTGTCTTCTACAAGTGTGTGTGTGTGTGTGTGCGCGCGCGCGCACGCACACACACACACACATACACACACATGTGAGCTACCACATGCGGAGGACAACTTGTAGAATCTATTCTCTCTTTCCATTACATGAAGATTCAACTCAGGTTTCCAGGCTTGTTGGCAAGTGAAATCAGTAGGGAGAATTTCATAGCCCATTTCTCGGAATTTTTAAAAACAAAGTTGCTATATATTCACAAAAACATACATATTAATAAATACATCTTTAAGAGGATGGATCTGGAGAGATGGCTCAGTGGGAAAGAGCATATATTGTTCTTTCAAAGAATCTGAGTTCAGGTCTCAGAACCCAGCTCACAAATGCCTGTAATTCTAGTTCCGGGGACCCAACACCTCCTTCCAGCCTCCATAGGTACTCACACATATATGACATAAATTCACACAAACATATACCCATAAATAAAAATACATCTAAAACCCAGAAAATTTTGTGACCTACAATTATTATAAATAATGAAAATCTTATGAATTAACCTAATAAATTTAGCTCAAAGTTAAATATTACCAAATCTATAACTTTCAGTTACCATACAAATGAAATAACAAAATTAGGTGACCTGCACTCATGCTAAAAATTTTAGTAAAACTCAGTATGCATTTCTGAACAAAAGAGTTTCAAATAGTAAAGAAAGAATTAGGGGACACTTCTTATATAAAGCAAAAATAAATACATTGTCAACCCTAGCTTCTAGCTGATGGTAAACTATTAAGGATACCCCCATAAAAATTTAGCTGAACTTGTTAGACCATACAGTCTTTTGTTCTCCAAAGGCTTCATTCCCAGCCGGTGGCAGTACTAGGTCATGTTAAAGCTTTCACAAAGGGCCCGGTGGAAGAAATCTAGATCACCAAGGGCATGCCCTTGAGGAACTACTAGGAGGACCTCAACTCGTCTTATGTTTCCTGGCTGCCATGAAGTGAACATACCTCTACCAAATGTTCCCTGACATGATGCCCTGCCTGTCCAAGGCCCAAAGGTAGAAACTTTGTAAGGAAGCCAAAATAAATCTTCCCTATTTCAAAGCTGTCTTAGGCATTTTGTCATGACATGCACACCTAACAGAACAGTGGTCACGAGGTGGAGACTTGCTGTGAGTATCCTCATGACGTGGACCAGAAGCCTGTGGAATTGCTTTGTGCAGGGAAGGAGCAGGGATAGGTTGGAACAGCAGACTCTTTTTTGGTTGTGAGCCTAGCCTTTAATGGCTGAGCCATCTCTCCAGCCCAACAGCAGACTCTTTTGTGATCATGTTTTGTCTGCCCTAGGCTAAGACAAGAATTTTGTCAAATTTGAGCCAGCAAGATGGTTCGTGGGCAGTGGGTGACATTGGGGGCGGTGAAAAGCACTTGTTGCCAAGCCTGACAACTTGAATTCAATTCCTGAAACTCACTTTTGGAAGGAAAACCAAAAAACTTGTATGTATATACACATAAAAATAATAAATGTAAAACAATTCAAAGAAGAATTTTGCCAAATCTGTTTTTTTTTTTTGTAGATGTCATGATCCTCTGCTTCCTGAATGTCAGAATTATATTTATGTCCTACCAGGCCCAATTATTAGCAAGCTTTTTATAGCTAAGAGTCAGAAATACCTTTCTTTGTGCTTCAGATACTTAAAACATGGTTTTGTTTTGTTTTGTTTTTGCACTAAGTTTGTGCCTGGTACCTGCAGAAGACAGAAGATGGCGTTGGAGCTCCTGAACTGGGGGTACAGACTGCTGTGAGCATTCATGTGGATCTGGGAACGGAACCCATGACCTCTAAAAGAATAGCTACTGCCCTTGACCACGGAGCCATTTTTCCAGATCTATGCTAGAGATATTAAAAGAAAAAAATTGCTGGACTGTGGTAGCATATACCTTTAATCACAGCACTCAGAGGCAGGTGGATGTCTGAGTTTGAGGCCTACTTGGTCTATAGAGTAAGTTCCAGGACAGAGAGAAACCCTGCTTTAAAATACCAAATCAAACATATACACACACCCTTCACCTTATGTGATTTTCACACTGTGAAATGCTGTATTTTTGTGAACTCATAAAATAATGGCCTATGAGAACATTGTGCTTTAGATATTTACTTAATCAGCAGCAGAGACACTAATTTAGTTTCTGTGCACTAAAACAATTCTGGACACTTGATCAACTTCCTGTATCAGCAGAGTTTACTAATAAACTGATTCTAAAAGAAAAGCAGAGTGTAACCGCAGCTGAGGCTGAGGCAGGAGGGTTACCTGGAGTTTGAGGCTAACTTGGGATATAGCTTGAGTTCAAGATGTAAGATAAGCCTCTCAGAGAGAGAGAGAGAGAGAGAGAGAGAGAGAGAGAGAGAGAGAGAGATTCTAATGATTTCTTCAAATGTTAGCCATTTTGTCCTATTTTTATTCTACAACACACAATTAAGTAATTCCTTGAAAAATCACTTCAAAGTAAAAGTTGTTCTCTGTTTATAACACAGACCCCAGGCAAAGATGATATACAACCACATTTCATATCTCCTTTAAGGCAGATGTACCAGCCGGGTCTCTTTATGATGGCAACATCCCATGGTAAGTTGTATGCACTTTGAAGCTGTAGCTGCTCAGTCAGCTGGTTCATCTTCTCAAGCAACAAAGACAAAGATCAGAAAACCAAGCAAAGAAAAGTGACAGGGAAACATTTGCAAGACAGTTGATAAGAAGTTAACTTTTTTTTTTATTACTTAAGAGCTTTTATGATGAATAAGAAGTCCAACATTCCCCAAATAAAACCACCAAACACTAGAGTGAACACTTTATATTACAAGGACTACAAAATAAGAAATACCTAAAAAGGAGCTTTTACTTTACTCTTGACAAGGGAAAATAAAATTGACAGTGAAAATCCACTTTCATTGACCAGAAAAACAAAGACAGAAAGCTTGTTGAAAAAGTACAATGCTGGGGATGATGTTGGCCTGTCAGTCTTCCTAGAAAGCATCATTATAGTATCTACTAAAATTTAAAAGCATGAAGATTAAATGTGACATTTAGTTTTTCACTAATAACTGTCTCAGAAAGTTTAATTTCTTAGATTTCTAGCCTTATATTTTTTATAGTGTGATGCAATTTGTAATTAAACATTTTCAAGTTTGACGTATGTTGATCATAAATTCTATGGTGGCACTGACTAAGGCTAACTTACAGACTTCTCTACAGTACTTACAACACACAAAGCACTATTTTCCTCTTTACACAATAAATATTTGTGCAGAGAAAATACCTTCCAATGCTGGTGCTCACAGCCGATGCAAATGAGCGACCATAACCCACTTCTGAAAGCCTCCCCAGTCCTTGCCCTTGCCTGGGTCCCCAGCCTGCTGTCTTTCCACCACTGCTCTTCTCAGACCAATGCCATGGACCAACCTGTCTTGTTGGGTTGAGTTCATTTCTTTTGACATTAAGCCAGAAGAATTCCACATGTCCCAGAAACACATACGATGGAAAACATAAAATCATTTAAAAAATTAGATTTCTATGTACTGATACATAACATAAGATGTACTGTTAAGTGGAAAGAAGTGTTCCCCACTGTGTATAGTGAAGCATAGTTTCCATAGATGGAATGTGCAGATGTACAAGCACAGCTTTCACCAACTTCCTTTGGGGTGACCTGAAACAGGTTACAGCACTGAATGAAGGTGTCCTTCCATACCATACTGCCCTTCCAGATTCTGGAACCCACTCCATGTTGTCAACTCTATGGGGCTTACTAACGTTTTGAGCCTTGTAAAGCAAGCTTTGCAAATGAGACGAGTTAGTTTGGGTAGTGCTATGATATCGCGGTCAGTAAATATCAATGTCCCTATGGATAACAAATGCCTGGTTGTAGATTTGAGGTCTTCCTTAGAAACAAAAGATCTCGTCATATGCTTTGCACAGTCTTATCCCCTGTATCTCCACAAATGTTCTTTCCTTCTAGGTGGCCCTAATCTACTCTTTGGAAGATTTCAGCACCCAGAATCTTAAGCTTTTCTATATTTATTTATGGATAAACCCTGTGTCCTTTTCAATCAGGAGTTGGCCAATAAAATCAAGCTTTTCTTTGTAAACTACCAGCACCTGTTATGAACACACACATTTTAAAATTCAAAACTGCAGCAGGCATGTGTTGGTTGTCTATCTCCCCTGCCCAACATGGTATTTTCAGATAACCGTGTCCTCCTTATGTGGCCTCCCTATTAATCGCACATGCAGTGCCCCAGAGTAAGCTATTCGGTTCCTCAGGCAACAGCACTTATTCCAAGCAGATTTGTAAACTATGCCAATCAACTAAGGCGAAATCATGTTAAGAATACCACGTCAGAAATATTCTTTCCTGGAAGTGACCTTGGAAACCCTACAAATGTGGCCCTGTGGGGAGAAGAATGAACTACAGAGCCTATGGTATGACCACTGGGTGCTGGTGGATGAGGGCAGGTGCTCTTGAGAAACTATACACAGGACCCACACTTTCCTCACTATGATCAAACAAATGGGAAAAATGTGGTATTAAAACAGTCTGAAAAGGTAATTTTGCAGAGCAATCTCTGGGAGGTGTTTACTATAGTCTACCTGAAGTTGGGACATGATTAAAAAGATGGATTTGGTGCTTTGGAAAATGTGAATGTTGCCAGTGAGCTCTTCTCTCCTCGATCACGAGAGGTAACTGTAGTTTATGAAGAACTATTAGAAAACCAAGAGCATCTCAGCAGATCCTGCTTAAAATGCTTCACATAAAGATGATTCTAAATACTTCACGGGAAGAACTCAGTGAAGAAACATGAGAAATACACAAAAATCTGGAAATAAATATGACATCGTACATAAACTACTGTGAAACAACTTATTCCAATATGATTGTCTTAAATTAATAGTGGATAAAACTTTCAGTAATGTAGTAATATATATGGAGAAGACACTACTCTCAAGTACTGCTTTTGGGAGAAGATACCTCAGCTTCTTAATGATTGCAGGTAAACACTATATATATATATATATATATATATATATATATACTTTCAGACTAAACTAGGCTCTGATGTTCAAAATTTATGAACTCATCTCTTTCAAAAAGTGGTTATAAAAGTTATATCAATAGTTTAAGCAATAGTACATATTAACAAATTACCAGAATATTGCTATCTTTAGCCTTGAATACCACTGTAATTTGGTCATATGCATCCCATTTTGGCCAAACACATGATCTTCCCATTGGCAACAAGAGGGAGCAGAAGAAAACTGCGGCACAGGGTCAGATGAAGAGCAAGACTATCCTAATTGTACAATGCATTGAATTAAAGTAAGAAAACATCCAATCACTTCCAAAGGAAATGTTCTTTCAAGAGATTTGGCGTTCTTTTTTTTTTTTTTTTTTAATAAGGGAAACCACTCTAAGAAAATGAGTCATGGAAAAAGAGAAAAAGCCCAAATTCTATTAACATTATGTTGGAAACATAGGTTCCTAGGCTTTTTAGTTACAAAACTCAGTTTCTTTTACCAAGTTTGGTAACTACAGCCAGCAGAACACAGTCCACTGAATCCAGATATGTCCCAATGGTTACTTTCTTGGCTATATATAGCTCTCCAAGTTCTTTTTGTCCTTCTGGGGCAAATGACTCCAAAAGGTAAACTCTTGGGGGAGGGGGGAAAATCACAGTAACAGATGGGGTGGGGCACTCTTCCGTTTACTAGCACTAACTTTTGTTCCGCAAAATATCTTGCATATGCACAAAACCACGGAAGAACATGGAAGACAATTTGCTTTTGGAAAGGGAGTGGTAAATCAGGGACTGGAGTGACATTCACCTTTTTACTCATTCCCTGAAATGTTTGTAAAAATTTCTAATGACATCTCAAAAAGTGTTTCCCTAGGGTACTTAGTAGCACAGTGGGCACAGTGTCACTGGTGAATGGTAGGACCATTTACTATTATTTTCGCCATACAAAACCTTTGTTGTTTAAAAGTCCCGCAGAGCAACAGACAAGTTCTCACTTGTCATCCTTCCCTTTTGTCTTTCTGTATACCATTTCTCGAAAACTGGCTAGGATCTTATTCTCTCTCTTCCGCCTCTCTTCCTGGTTAAAGGATGCAAGGGCTCTTTTCTCATCAGCACTGTAAATCTGGTTCTCTTTCCGCAGCCTTACAGCCTCCATCCGGCGATGTCGGCTACCACTCATGACGTAACCTGAACCCTCAAAGGAGGCGATCTCTTCACTCGTCAACCCAATTTCACCCCTTCGTGGGATACGCTTTCCAGCTTTTACATATTCAGCCATGGCTGCGCCTTCACCTGGAAGCAGAGCGTGGCCATAATTCAAAGGTTTCTCATCTTGAGAGGTATGTATTACCGGTGCTTTTGGGCCTATTAAATCCAGGGCATCTGCACTCACGGACTGTTCCATCCACGCATCTTCTGGCAATTCCCTTTCTAAAGCTTCGCAGCGTATCTCGCTGGATTCTTTTCTGGTCCTCCTCCTCTTCTTTAGTTGTTTTGCTCGGTGTTTCTTTTTCTTCTCTTTCTTCCTGGCTTTAACTTTCCTTTTATCGCCCCCAGAGCTAGACTGAACGTCAGAGTCTGAATTGTTGTCACTGTCACAATACTTTCTACGTTTCCTTTTGGAGGGCTTTTTCTTCCTTTTTCTCTTTGCTGAATGACCGGTCTTCGTGCTTTTTTCTTCACTGGCGACGTCTGAACTGCTGCTCTTCGGATTCTTCACCTCCTCTTCAGCTGGTGTGTGTTCATCCGAATCTGGCTCAGGAAACTTGGGCGACAGTCCCCACACCTCGGGCGCGCCCAGCTCTCCTATCCTCTCCCTTTCCTTCAGCCTCCTTTGCCGATAGCTCTCCTCCTTTTCCTTCTCCTGGTCCTCCGCCCACAAACGCTCTCCCGCATAGTGGTGGTAGCGGTAGCCACCAGAGATGGAAGAGGAGGACCAAGAGGCGGCAAACGTGCGGATCCCTGGCGGTGGCGGCCGCTCCCCAGACCTGGGACCGGGCCCCTCTGGACCCCGCGGAGGCCCGAGTCCCTCGGACCCGCTGAGCTGAAGACCGAAACCGCCTGCCCGAGGGGGTCGTCGAGTCTGTAACACCGACGGTGGGCTGTCCGAGGCACGCGTTTTTTTCTCAGAGCCCAGAGTGTCCTCATCAGGGCGGGATCGGGACACAGGCGACATGGGCCGACTTCAAACCATTGGCGGGGCGGTTACTCCAGAAAACGCATCATGGAGAGCACATGACTACCACACAGGCTGGCGCACTAGGAACTGCGCAGGCGCACTAGGGATGGCGCACAGGCGCACTAGGCTCAATTCTTCTGTGCGGCCCAGGGAAGGGTTAGTACATACCTGGTGCCAGCCTCTGACGGAAGGGAAAGCGGCCAGGGGTCTGAGCAAGAGCCCTTCGTCAGCCTCAAAGAAATAGACACTCATACCACATTTCACGATTTACATTCGCTACATTGAGCTCCTTGGGATAACAAATGAAATTATCATTAATAGTCTTTCTGCTGTATGTATGCATGCATGCATGTATGTACTTTCTATCATCTATGTACCATCATCATCATCATCATCATCATCATCATCATCATCATCATCATCATTATTATTTTGAGACGGGGTTTCTCTGTGTTATAGCCCTGGCTGTCCTGGAACTCTCTTTGTAGACCAGAGTGGCCTCCAACTCGCAGAGATCCTCCTGCCTCTGCTTCCTGAGTGCTGGGATTAAAGACATGCACCGCCACCGCCACATTATTTCCTATTATTATTAAGTGGAGCATTTGCAGCCCAGCTGACTTGGAGCTTGCTAGGCAGAAAAGATGATTTTGAACTTCTAATCCTCCAGTTTCTACCACACAAGCACTGAAATTAAAGGTTTTCATCACCACACCTGTGATGGCTAAGGAAATTTAACTCTGTACCAGTCATCTCCTTATTAGTGTTGTGCCCAGTCCATGGGGGCCCCAAAAGACCACCAGGGAGACCAACTCACCAAAATGCAAAAGCAAGATTTATTATTGTGCATATAATTGCAAGCCAGCAGGGACTTCCTCAGTGCATCAGCAAGAGGAGGTACCCCACCCTTCTAGAGTGCATTATTTAAAGACAAACTCCAGGAAAGTTACATTAGCAGGGTTTGGGGTAAAGGGTTCAATCCTGATTGGCTCATATCTAGGGACTTTTCACAAATTTTCATTTTCAAACCTTGCCTGTTGCTTGTCAAGTTTTCTTATCTGCTGATCTTCAGATAGGGACATTCATCTATACTTTCCAGGTGGTTACCCTGTTACTTTTGCCCCTAGCCATTTCTGAGTACTGTAATGTTTTATGAGAAGTAGCTTACACAAGACACAAGATGGAGGCGGAGGACAAAATGGAGGAACTTTAGTTCTTCAATTAGCTGTTGATCTTTGCCCTAAATTTCCCTAGGTTCCTAGTGTTGTGATCTGCTGGCCTGGGTACCCTGTCCCTTTAAGAGACAAGCTCTGCCTGCTCCCAACCCTCCCCTTCTGCAGAGGCAAGCTAATCTCCAGCCTTCTCCAGTCTGCTCGCCCCCCCTTCTCTCTCTTCCCCTCTCTCTCCCTCTCTCTCTTTCTCTTTCTCCCCTGAAGAGGTAACTTCTGCTCTCTCTCCCACATCATTCCCCCTCTCTCTAATTCTCTCATATTCTCTCTTTGTCTCTCTCTCTCTTCTTCCCCCCTCCCTTCCCCTCCATAACCCACTAAATAAACTCTATATCCAAATTCTCTCTCTGCTTGATGATGTATCTCTCTGTCTTTCACCCACCATAATCTCCTACCCACCAAAGGGTCACCCATCCTGCCCCTCATGGGGCCTCTGCCCCTCGTGGAACTGACCCCCCCATCCTTATATCTTTATAAAAGAATAACACCCAGCATAGTGGCCTGCATCCTCCGCAGAATGATGGTACTGCTGTGAGTAAGGATGAAAGAATGGTGTACCTGCTTTGAGGTAATTCACCACTTGCCCTGGCTGTCATTAACCTGCTTATCCCTGTAGGAAAAGGAACAAAGCAGTTTTCTCTATAATGTAATGTATAGTGTAATGGGAGTGAGAGACAGTTAAGGGGAGTAGAGCGACTTCCCCACGGGCAGCCATGGATTCCACAGAAGCGAGATAATTGTAATGGCCACCTTAAATATTCTTCCCCTAACCATCTATGGCTCTCGATTTGGTTATATGGTGCCCATCCTTCCTACTACTGTGGGACCCTCACCCCTTATTCTCAAAGGGGCAAGAAGAAATTTCCTAGCAGAATGCTTTAAAATTAGAAACCCTGGGCTAGCTTCATGCTCCCAGGAAGGATAGTGGCCCCTCCTGACTCGGAAGACTACAAAACCTAGAGTCAGGACAGGGCCATCTGGTGATAAGGATGTCCTGACTCAGGAAAGGCGTGGCCTTGCTCGCTAACAAAAAAGGATGAAAAGAAGCAAAGACTTTGCACCCGTGTCAGATTCCTCCCACCCCCTTCTACCAGTAAGAATAAATTCATTTGATTTTAATCGAAATTTGAATTGAGTCTTATCTTTCCCAGTGGATTTGAACTCTCCAACAAAACTGTCTCTTCTCTTGGGTTTTTGTGTTTTACCGCCATGTAGTTCACCATTCCACTTTCATTTCTACCTCCACCTTTCTGCTTAGTGGAGAACTCTTGTTTACCCCTAGGCCCCGCTCCAAAGGCACTAGTCAGCCACCTCGTGTTGCAGGTCTGCAGTCTAGCAACGAAGGAAACTGTGGCAAGGTGATCGCTGGTTCAGGGTCTTGTGGCAACTTGATGAGATTCTGCATCAAAAAGTAGAAGAGTGTTCAGAGTGTTGCTTAGTAGGGGTGGAGTATGCCTAGCGTTGGTAAAGCCAGAGGCTCAGTTTCTGGTGACTCACCAAACAAGCCTGTTTGTCCCTATTGGAAGCAAAACCTAGATTACTTCTGGAACCAAAGTTCGAGCTTAAGTTTCTGATCATGGAAAATAAGTAGGTAAATAGGTAAAGGGTAATTCCAGAGTCTTGTTTTACTTAGTTTCACAGTCTTCCGCTCCAGAGATAATAGATGCATTAGTCTGGAAGATTCCTCTTTTTCTAGGGCTATTTCTTCAGAAGCACAGTCATTTAGAATTACTTCCTGAAGGTACTTTACATCACATAGTCTGAAATGGCAAACTTTCAAGTATGATATCATTCCCTAATCTGACAGTCATTGCAATCTAGGAGGCTGAGCTGAAAAATTCCCAAAGTAAGGTAAGTCAAAATTTAGGAATGATGCTTTGCTGAGGCTCTGCCTAGTTTTTGTTTTGTTTTTAAAAGGGATTTTGTTTATGTGCGTGAGAGAGCATATACCATCTGTAGTGCTTACAGAGGTCAGAAAAGGATGCTGTGCCCCCAATAACTGCAGTTACGGGCAGTTTTGAACTGCTTCGTGTGGGTACTGGAACCCAAACTAGGTCCTCTGCAAGAGCAAGAAGTACTTTTAACAGCTGAACTGTTTCCTCAGGCCTCTGTTCCTGCTAATTTTTTATTTAAGACAAAGATTCACATAGCCTAGACTGACTTCAAACTCACTAGGTAGCTGAGGCTGACTTTGAATTCCAGATCTTCCAACCTCCACCTCTGAAGTGTTTGGATTATAAGCATACGTCACCACACAGCTCTGATACTAGGACTCCTAAACAATAAAATAAAATGAAATTGAATAGAAATGGGAAAGGGTGTACTGTTCTAATAATATCCTTCAAATAAAAACGTCTTTAAAAGATCTAGAATTGGGCTGGAAAGATGTTCAGTGGATAACACTGGTTGTTCTTCCAGATGACCTGAGTTCAGTTTCCCAGCTCTCACGTGGCAGTTCTCAATTGTCTAATTCCAGTTCCAGGGAATCTTATGCCCTCTACTGACCTCTCAGGCACCAGGTATGCACTTGGTGCACAGACATATATGTAGGCAAAGCACCCATGCACATAAAATAATAATAATTGTAAAAATTGGAAACAATAGAGAATTCATTTAATGGTTGTGGATTGTATATAATCTCTTTAATCTATATTCTCTGCTGAATCTTCATAAATGACATGCATGTTTGTTCTTTCAAATTCATATGTTGAAACCTTATTACCAGTGTGTTGGTGTTAGGAAGTGGGCCCTTTGGAAATTATTAGTGTGAGGGCTTAGTCTTCATATTTGGAGTCAGTGCTATTAAAAAAGAAGTCTCAGAGAGCTGCCTTGTCCTTTCTCTAGCTAGATGATACCTTCAGTTGAGAATGAAAAATGCCTGCAGATTCTCATATTCCAGAACAATGAAAAATAAATTTCTGTTGTTTATAAGTTGTTCAGTTTATGGTATTTAGTTATAGTAATAAAAAAGACTGAGATATACAAAACTCTGCTCAGTTCTGGATACATTAGATTTTGAGAGCCTTGTCTCTGGACAACTCCTGTTTCATGTGGTGTGTGTGTGTGCGCGCGCGTGTGCGTGCATGTGTGCACACATGTGTGTGTGTATGTTCTGTGTATCTGGTGCCTTATTTTGCTTTCTTTTCCTGTGATAAAACACCATGAACAAAAGTAACCTGGGAAGCAAAGCCAGGAACCTAGAGGCAGAAACTGAAGCAGAGATCATGGAGGAACACTGCTTGTTGGTTTGCTCCTCATGACTCATCTGGCTTGCATTTTTATACAACCCAGGACCACCTCCTCAGAGATGGCACTGGCCCTAGTGGTACAGGCCTTCCCACATCAAGAATTAATGAAGAAAATGCCTTCACAGACTAGCTTACTGAGACTCTGATGGAGACACTTGCTCTACTCAGTTTTGCACTGCCTATATGATCCTACTTGATGTCAAATAACTAAAGAGCTAACCAGCACATCTGGATACCTATGTTTATTTCTGGAGGTAACTACAAGTAGTGAGACCTTGGTTCACATTGACATCTCAATCCCAATCTAATACTATAGGATGCAGTTTGAGTTTTTCCAATATCTATAACTTCCAAAGAGAGTAAAAACGTACTAATATCTTTAGCATTTGCTTGGTTAATTAATCTTATTTATATCAGTTTCCACATCTCTTTTCACTTCTCTCATTGGGCTCAGTCCTTATGTTATGACTGGTGTGGCAATTAACTTCATTAAATTAAGATGTGTGTGTGTGTGGTGCTAGCACAACCCAGTCAGCAAAGTGCTTGCTGTGAAAGATGAGGAGTTGAGTTTGATCTCTAGAACTCATGTAAAAATTATTGTAATTCCAGTGCTGGGGAGGTGGAGATGGGTGGATCCCTGAGGCTCATTGGCCAGCTAGCCCAGCCTACTTTGCGAGCCCTGGACCAACAGAACTTAAACCTTTTTAAATGTTTTCTGTGGCCTCCACATCCAGAAGCATGTGCTCAAGTGTGTGTACACACACCTATCCCAAATAAATAAATACCTGGTGGTACTAATTCAGGGTACCCTTGGTTGTGTCTGTTGTACTGGCTTTTCCAGAAAGGACTGACTGAAGAAGAAAGGACCATAAAGGCTGAGGGATGGCACTGTCCCATAGGCTAGAATCCCAGATGAAATGAAATGAGAAATAGAAGAATGGCAGATGGACATCAGAATTCATCTTTCCCTACTTCCTGATATTGATATGCCAAGATATAGACACGGCCAAGTAGCTTCCTATTATTTCTGCTGCCATGTTTCTGCCATAATGGACTGTACCCTCAAGCTGAGAGCCCAAATATATTTTTCTTAAGCTGCTTCTTATTGTCATGTTTTTATCACAGCTATGAGACAATAACTAACAGCACTGCTATATTAATTTTTCTGACACTGTGTCAATATCCCCAACAGAAACAGCTTGGAAAGATTTATTTTGGCTCATGGTTTTAGGTAGATTTCAGTCCACTGAGGCAGGGAAGGAATAGTGGCAGTAACAGGAGGCAGGGGCTCTTCACATGTTGACCAACTAGGAAGCAAAGAAAAGGAGCACAGGAAGGAGCCAGAGAATGATACAGCCCCTAAGGGCAAAACTTCGAAGACCTACTTACTCCAGTTAGGCTTTGCCTCCTGCTTTCCACTTCCACCCAAATTATATCATCATATAATATAATCATCAAGACATTGTACTGCTTGTGGGGTTATAGATTTTGCGGCCAATCTAGAAGGTGTGTGTATTATTGATCTCCTAGGCTCTTCTGAATCTACTCAAACTGACAAGATTAATGTCAACTGGTTAAGGACCTTCACTCTGGGCTGAACTGCCGTCTCCTTTCCCATCTCTTTTAGACTTACTTAATAGTTTTTGTACTGAAGTATTCACTAATGAAGGAAGGTAGGATTTTGTTTATTTATAGAGAACATTACAGTGAATCTCCATATGCCTCCAACCCAGCTTAAACTATTACCAAATCGTGTCATTTGTTTCTTTCTTCCTTTTTTTTGATAAGTATTTGCTTCAGCAAACCTCAAACATCATATTGTCTCATCCATCTATACAGATATTTCAATATAAAGTTCTAATGAATGATTATAAAAAATTATAGAGTCAGGAGCGATAGCTCAGTGGTCAAGATCATTTGCTTTTCTTCCAGAGGACCTATGTCGGTTGGTTTTTGCCAATTTGACAAAACTAGCATCATCTAAGAAGAAGGAATCTCAGTTGAAAACAATGCCCCTATCATACTGACCCGTAGACAAGTCTGTGTGGCATTGTCTTGACAGATGGTTGATGTGAAAGAACTGAACCACTGTGGGCTCGGCCATCCTTGGGCAGGTAGTCCTGGGTTGTATAAGAAAGCAAACCAAATGAACCAGGAGAGCAAGCCAGTAAGGAGCATTCTTCCACGGACTCAGCAGCATTCCTCTAAGGACTCTGCTTCAGTTCTCTGCCTTCTTGCCTGGTGTTTCTGCCCTGACTTCACGATGGATTATGATTAGAACTTGTAAGCCAAATAACCCCTTTCCTCCCCAAGTAGTTTTTGGTCATGGCGTTTATCACAGCAAAAGAAACCCTAACTATGACAGTGAAAGACCCCCGGAGTGGGGAGACTCTCACTCAAGTCTCGGGATAACACGACCCCCCAGGAACTCACAAGAGACCATCCTTGCTGCAATCACACGAGGTTTAGTGACAGGACAGGAACCAGCGCACTGGGGCCGAGACTCATATTCCACGAAGGGGTAGAGGAGTTCAACCCTGAGTAGCTGGGAGAGAGAGTATTTAGGGGACGAAACCACAGCCCAAAGAGGGTAGGGAGGGCGTTATTGAAAAATTCCAAAAATACCAGTGATCATCACAAGGGGGTAACTCCCTGTTTCTCAAGATTATTCTCAAGATTATAATCTAACTTTATGGTCAACTAGTTCCTGGAACAGAGTGACTGAACTGGCTAACCTAGATTTTTGGTTCTTCTCTCTCTGCTAGAGTTTTGGCTCTATTTTTCCTGCTAGATTTTTGGCCCTATTCTTTCTGCTAGAGGGCTCAAGGTTTATCTGGGTCTTTCAACAGGACCTGAGTTTGAGTCACAACTGCCTGCAGCTCTAACTGACCTGATATCCTCTTCTGGTTTCTACAAGCATTAGCACACGTACGCATTACACACATATGACAGGCACACATAAATAAAAATAAATCTTATAAAAATGATAGTATCATTCTAACACTTAAATTGCCAATAAATGCTTAATATTGCTGCTTTCTAGTTTTTCCCATTTTCTCAGCTGTATCTTTTTACAGTGATGGGAAGCTTACCAGACATGGCCCCTCAGACATAGCCTATAGCCAATTGAAGTCTTTATTCTGAGGCTGGGATCACACCCAGGTGTTCATAGGACCTAGGTGTGGCCTACTGTCCAGAACTGGGGTTTTTAAGGGTAGAGACCTCTTGAGGCTTCCCCCAGGCAGCTGAATGGAGACTTTGCAGAGTAAGCAGTTTGAAGTCAGCAGTTTTAAAAGAAGCTCAGATAAGAGGTTAGCCAACCTAAGGGGGATTCTGCACAAACAGACAACTAAGATAAAGCTGGAGGCAGTTCCGCACAAACAAGCAATTTCAACAAAGGTTAGGTGCGCTAGATAGGGCATCCTGACCTTTGGTTCGCAGCAGAGAGCTGGGTAGTTTTCCATGAGATACCCCAAGGAGTTCAGATTCTAGTTAAACCTGGAAACGGCCTCAGCAGGAATCTAAGATGGAGGAGCTTGTGCACCATCTTGCCCCATCACAACAGTTGTTTTGTTCTAATCAGGGTCGAAATAAAGTTTATTGCTCCTGGCTGACCTGTGTATTGGGATCCTTTTAATGGAAGACCGTCTGCTTTTCTCAGGTTTGGGAGTCTCTGCGTCTAACACTTGTGCTAATGTGTCAGTCCTGTTTCTCAGAGAAACAGGAAGGAATGAAGTAGGAACGGAATGTCCCCAAGGCTGTGGACTAGAAGGTTTCTGGGAGTGCACAGAGATAACTTGAGTGCTCGCCTTGTGCGAGCTTTGTTGCTGAGGCGCTCAGCAGAGTGGGACTCTAGCTATTTGGGCAGGTGCCATAGCAGCGGCCGCACTGGCGCTTTTACCATTCCATAAAATGGTGGGCGGTGGGGACTAGAGTCAGGGTCGGGATGATTTTCTCTCAGATAGTTTGGCCCGGAGGGGGATGAAAGGGAGAGGCAAGAAGAGGGCGGGACCGGCGGCAGTCACACTCTCCAGACAAGTGAGTGTCTTCTTTCGTGGTTTCTAAGAGGTACCAAATTTCCTACCAGGTCTCATCTTTGCTTTCTGCAAAGTCTACTTCCCGGTTAAACTTTAGTGTCAGCATTATGACAACTATGAAGGAAAGCTTTAGATCGGAAAAGAATCAAAGATCCCCGGCTTAAATATCCACTCCAGTATGACCCAGGGGCTAAAATCCTTCCCCCAACAATCTTCCTTTGAGTTGAGGTACTGATAGAGTCACTAATGAGTTAATTCTGATAGAACCACTGAGAAGAGCATCCTAGAGAGCCCAGGAAGTGGCTTGGGTTTCCACAATGTTTCCTGTGCTCCAGCCAGTGTCTGGATGTAGTTTATTTGACCCGGGCATTCATTGGGAATATTTGTTGTGGTGTTAGATTGGAGTGCAAAGGAGGATTCCGCAAAGGCAAGCCTTGTCGGAGATATCGGTGCAGCTGTGTCTCTGTGTGTCCCGGGGAACGAGAGGAGGAGACAGGTCTATACTGAGTTCCCATCTTCAGGGGATCCTCTGAGGATCCACAGCTTGCAGCTTGCGTGAGCCAAGGCGTGGCGCAGAATGGCTAGAGAACCACAGGCGAGCGCAGCCCAAATCGCTCCATCGGCAGAAGAGGGGGGTGGGCTTCTGGTGGTGAAGGTGGAACAGGAAGAGGTCTCCTCCTTGGCAGAGGAGACCAGTTGTCTGGGCCTCCCTGCATCCGACCACTCCCGCCAGCGCTTCCGCGCTTTCCGCTACCCAGAGGTTGCTGGACCCCGGCAGGCGCTGAGCCGGCTCCGAGAGCTCTGCAGACAGTGGCTGCGGCCAGATATGCACAGCAAAGAGCAGATTCTGGAGCTGCTGGTGCTGGAGCAGTTCCTGACCATCCTGCCAGGGGAGCTGCAGGCCTGGGTGCGCGAGCAGCACCCCGACAGCGGGGAGGAGGTGGTGGCGCTGTTGGAGTACTTGGAGAGGCAGCTGGACGAGACGCCTCCACAGGTAGAAGGAACAGGTTTAGGGTCTGAGACCTATGCCCTGTGCCTTCCAGAACCCTCGAGCAAGATCCAAGGGAGGCATTGCTTAGAGCCTGCGAAGTCTCAGTCTGAACTGGGAACCTGAGGCAACAGCGAAGTGGCCTGGATCCCTCAGAATAGTTAAAAGCGCAAAGGAAAGTACAAGGACTGGGGAGAACTCAGAGCTAGCGCAGCGCGGGTAGAGTGTGTTGAGCAGAGTGGTGAAAGGTTAGATGTGAACTAACTGGTGTGCTGAGGAAGACCCGAGGACAGGCTTGAGCACAGTGGCAGTGGGCACAAGCGACTTGATAAGTTTTCTTGGCTTGTCATGTGACGACATCTTCAGTGCTGTCGTACTTAGCCACCTTGCTTTGTTGTTCTCATTGACAATGGAGGGAAATTCCACAGTTTTCCTAGAATCTAGAAAGGTTTTTTCCTGTCCAAATTCATGGACCCCTTGTTTGATCCTCTGGTAGAAAATGGCCTGGTTTAACTTCCATCTTCTGACCTTAAAAACAATACCGGTGTGTGTGGTGGGAGGAGTCTGTACACATTAACTATGTGTCTCCATTATATTTACCACCAACTTCCCCCTTTATATAACCCTCCTCTTTGTAACATACTAAGTCCAGTTAGTACCACTCGCTGGAATGTTGACTGATCATATTGTTTGATCTTGTTCACCATAGCTTCAGTGAGCTCCTGAGTCAGTAGCCATGTCTTTTCCAGAAAGTAGCATTCTGTAAGACTCTTCCCCATCCCAGGTTCTTTCTGCCCTATCTTTCATGAGGTTCCCTGAGCCATGAGAGATAGGGGTTGGTGTAGATGTCCTGTTTAAGGATAAGCACTCGAGAGCCATTTATTCTCAGCTCTTTGACCAGTTCTGAGTCTCCACGGTAACTGTTGCCAACTGTGTAGAAAAGCATCTCTGGGTAAGGTTGGGGAAGCACTAATCTATACATGTAAATACCTTCTGGCCTCTTTTAGGAGATTTCCTTTCTTCAGCCTCCAGTGTCCTTGCATCAGGGGACATGTGATTAGAACCTCCTAACTAGAGATCAGGAGACCAAGATTCTGGCTTTAGAGTGCTGTCCTGAGCTCTGTAACAGTGGACAGTCAGTTCAAGACTTTGTAAAAGATGTAAGAAATTCTGAGCATCATTTTACTATACATGTCTGCAAGGAAACTAAAGTTTAATGAGGATGCACCACCTATTACGTTCTGTGTTAGTTGGCTTCACATACTGCAATCAAATTTGTTTCTTAAAATCCCTGTTCGGTGGAAATTACTATGTTTATTTTTCAGACAAGATATTAATACTTCTGTAGATTTTCCCATCAGCTTCATAATGGCAGAGAGACAGAGCAAGGGAGCAAAGAAATGGTTAATCCATAGGCTCTGTGGCTGTTCTGCCTTAGCTCCCATTGTAGCATTGCTACTTAGGAGTTCCATGACATGGACAAGCTGCTTCATCTAGGCCTCAGTTTCAGCTAGAAAATTCCAAACAATTCCATATTTCACTGAATGGGGAGGGTCCCTGCAGCTGTCATACAGGAAAGTGAACTTCATGAAGAGATAAGAATGAAAACCTGATGCAAATTGTTTTCGTCAACCTGGATCAGACTTTGAGGAGTCTAATAGCAGGCTGTTTATTCCCAATGTATTAGAGCCCGGTATAGTTTAGAAAAGTTTGCTGGTGTGATACAATTCCCAGTGCACAAGGAAGCTTAATTACACTGAGTCTCAACTCAGGGTACATGTCATTTCTTCCAAGAGAATGGGATCTAGAGATAGGCCACCTGCTCTAGCTTAAGAGCCTAAGGGTCTGGCCTGGTCTCAGTCATACAGATACCATAGAGATCATTTAGCATATTAGTCATTGTGGGAACTTGGGGGAGCCTTTGGCTATAAGGGTCATTTAGATTACTAGCCACCTCCAGTCTTTGTTGTAAGAGTTTGATATGGCCTGGTCCAACAGATAACACAGATCACCAGGACGTTAATCACCTCCAATTCTCAGCTTTCTGTTTGGAAGAACAGGTTTTTCATCTTTCCCTTTGGAAAGACAATCCTGTATGCTTAACATTTCTGCTTTCTCTGAAGATCTGTTGGTGCAAGAACCTTCTTGCTATGCTCCCAATACTTCACAGGGCTGTCTGTATTTCAATGAGTTAATATTCACGAAGCTCTTAGAACCAGTGCATGGTAATAGAAAGTCCTCACACAGAGTGTGATGGGAAAGTTTGGTTGAATAAATAAAAGTAAACGAATGACTTTTAGGTCCCAAATGGTGAATGGAGTGGAGAACGTCTCTGCTGCAAGGGGACATTGTTGAAGCCACCCCAGAACTCACAAAGTAGCCACTCCCAGCCAATGAAGAGTCTGCTCAAGCATTCATCTCAGGAATCTTCAGAGTGTTCACCCTTACAAACAAGAGGTGAGAGAATGTTTGTGTGTGTGTGTGTGTGTGTGTGTGTGTGTGTGTGTGTGTGTGTGTGTATGTGATGGGAGGGATCCAACTCAGCACTTTATACATGCTAAGTGAACATGCTACCACTGAGGTACCACATTCCCAGCCTTACACTGTGTGAATTATCATAAAGACTTCATTTAGTTTTATTTAACAGTCACCTAAAAGATGGGTCTATTTGACAATTACTTTCTATGCCCACCACCAATTATTTCTAAGACTGACAAAGGGAAATTAAAAAGAAAAATGTAAACTTTCCTAACCAATCCTGTGAATCCTAAGTTGTAATTAAATTTGATATCTAGAAAGAATTAATTTAGTTTTAGCAACATACTGAGCTCAGTTTGGTGTGTATATGTTGTATATGTGTATGATGTGTATGTATGTAGGTAGGTATCTTTAGAGGCCTCTCTACCATAGCATTGTTGTTTGGTACTGGGAATATAACCATCAGAAAACTAAATTTTTGCTCTGATAGATGTATATTCTAGTGGTACAAGATAACAAAAAAGTCAATAGTGTAATTTTGGATATTTAAGAGTGTTACAAAGAAAACAAAGTACAATTTGTAAAGTCAGAGTATCCCGGTGTCTTACTTACTTTTCTATTGTTGTGAAAAGATACCACAAGCCGGCCCGTCATACTACACACAACCAAGGCTACTTATAGAAGAAAGAGCTTATTGGGGCTTGCTTACAATTTCAAAGGGTTAGAGTTCATGGCCATTATGATGGGGGTATGGCAGCCAGCATGCAGGCATGGCACTGGAGTTGTAGCTGAGAGCTGGCATTTTGATCCGTAAGCATAAGGCAGAGAGAGCTACCTGGGAAGGTATAGGCTTTTGAAACTTCAAAGTCCACCCCAGTGACATACCTCTTCCAATAAGACTATACCTCTCTAATCCTTCCCAGACAGTTCCATCAACTGGGTACCAAGTATTCAAACCATTTGAGCCTATGGAAGCTGTTCTCATTCAGACCACCACACCCAGCAATAGTAGAACTTCTGTAAATAAAACCTACTGAACCTTGCAAGGCATGGAGTCTGAACCACAGAGTGGACCTTATCCAGAGACTCCTGTCTTAGTGATCCAGGTCCACAGGCCAGCTCAGGGATACAAGAGCAGGGGAGATTCTATGATAGCTTCCAGACCCTCTCCACAGCCCCAGGTGAGATTCTCGTTCCCTCTCTTCAACATTCCGTATCTTCCTTGCTGTTTCTCTGTAGAGAGCTGCTTTGTGCTGTGCCTTAAAGATGGTGCTGGCTTCTGCCTTCCACTCCCCATCCCATGGTGTGTGCTCTTGGTTGTAAATAACTCCATTTATGGCCAAAACTTATATTCAGGCTTGTTTCTGCGTACCTGGGCCTATCCGCATTTCCCACATGGCTTGCTGGGGTTGGCTACCCAGAGGCTATTCTAGCTTCAAGCGGGCTTTCCCCGGGTCAGAAGATTATTCAAGGTTCCTGATTAAACTGCAGTTAGAAGAGTCTGTGTTGCGTCTTCTTTGCTGGTCAAAGCGGACGCGACGTTTCTCCTCCCATTAGGTCCTTGTGGTGGTTAGAATAAGAATGGCCCCATAGGTTTATATATTTGAATGTCTCGTCATCAAGGAGTGGCACCATTTGAAAATGATTAGGAGGTGTGGCCTTGCTGGAGGATGTACATCACTGGGGATGGGTTTTGAGGTTTCAAAAGCGTATTTCCGACCCAGAGTCTCTCTGTTGGCCTACAGATCAGGTTATGGTTCTCAGCTACTGCTCCCACACCACGCCTACCTGCTGCCACGTTTCCCATCACAATGAAAATGAACTAAACATCTGAAGCCATACAATTAAACAAATTTTTTTTTTTAAAAAAATACAAGTTGCTTTGGTGGTGGTGTCTCTTCATAGTAATAGGACAGAGACTAAGATGGTACTTTTCTCTACAGTTCTCTATCCTCATCTGAAATTTACACGAGACTTAGAGTTCCTTACCATTTTATATCAGCAGGATTCTTCCTTTTGGGCTCACTTCAGAGAACTTTTCTGTTCTCTTCTTTTCTGCCTTAGAGGATTCCCTGTGTTCTCAGATCTCTTCTATTCCATTCATTGCTTTGGTCAGGCCCTTTATTCGTGGGGTTTCTTTTTTAACAAGGACAATTCAGGTTATGCAAATTAAAGAATATTTTTGGTGATAATGGTAGTTTAGGTGTTTTGTTTTGTTTGTTTGGGGCAGTGTTAGGGTTCCAGCTGAGGGCTTCATACATGCTAGGCAAGCATACATGCTAGCTCTGCCATTCAGCTATTGCAGAAGCTATATTTTGTTGTTCTAAAGTATAATAAAGTATACTCTCAATGAAGGACAGAAAGACCGGTATTCTACCCTCAAAGACTTATAGTTGGAGGGAACAGATATAGCCCATCCTCTTGGGCTACTAAAATGGTGATTATACAATATGGATTTTCATATTCACCCAGTTTTTCATGTCCTGCTTGAAGTTACCAGTGTTTGGGATATAATACTATTCACTACTTTTTCTTCTGATTTATTGCTCACCCTAGACCCAGACTTTATTTTATTAAAAACATTAATGTGATAAGCCCCTACCTTTAGTTTACCACATCTTTGAAAGTTTAGAGATGGTTTCCTAGGACCTTGTTTTCTAAACCTGTTCGTTTCCTGGGTCATTTATATATTCATAGGAAAGGACTTACTCTCAAGCATGTAGTAGTTTCTACCATTTATATCGCCATATGAAAGCACTTCCCTTAATGCATGCAGTATTTTTAATCTTTGACAGTTTGTTTCTTTCTGAGGCAAGATCTCTCAGTATAGCCCCGGCTTGACTTAAGCTGAAATCTTCATGGTTTAGTCTCCCAAGTGCTTCGATTACAGTCATGCACCATTGTGCTTGGTTAAGAGTTTTGCATATAGAGTTAAGAAAGTGAAGGTCTGCATTAAAAGACGTGCTCCCCTTAAAAGCCCTTTTAAACAGTTTGTACCATTGCCTGAGCCTTGGTTTGGGAGTATGAGGAAGAGGTACTAGCGGGGTCACTTATTTTCTCAGGGGATGCAGACCTCTCACCTGGGTGGACAGAGCAGGATTAATCTCAGAATAGTCTCTGTAGAGATGAGAGGCAGGAGAGCTCTGGTATACTAGCTTTCATGGGAAAACCCGAAAGGCACTGTCTGCTTTCAAAGTCTTTCCTGTTGTGTGTTATTTGAGTTAGGTGGTGGTGGCACACACCTTTGGTCCCAGCCCTTGGGAGGCAGTAGCAGGTGGATCTCTTTAAGTTCAAGGCCAGCCTGCTCTACACAGCAAGGGCTACACAGAGAATCCCTGTCTCGAAAAACCAACCCAACCCAAACAATAAACAAGAAACTTATTTGATTCTTAGAAGCAGTTTTGCTGTGTTTGGTTTCAGAATTACCATTTCTGAGTCCTGTTAGTGACCAGTTGTGGAACTAACTCCTAAAACCCTCCTTGCTTTGTTCTCTCCTGCTGGTCTACAAGGGGGAAGGAGCAGAAGCCAGTGAGTAGGGTTGGATGGCTATTGTGTCTATGGAGACAGATCTCAGGGATACAGTTTAAGGGTTACAGCTTCCTTTATTCCAGAAAGAGAGGGAGATATAAAAGCTGGAACAGTGATTGGGTCATCACCCTATTTGCATTAAACAGCTTGCTCCTACGTAAAGCTCCTAGTACAAGCCATAGTTATAACATGTGGAAGCAGACCGTAAAGCTCCTAACACAATGTCTAGTTACCATATGGGCAGCAAGGGGAGAACTCTAGCAGGGAACTATAGAGATAAACCAGACATCCAGGCCTAGGGACAGCTGCCAGAGGAGGTCAGGCTCCAGGCCTAGAGACCTTGTCTAGAAAGGCAGCTGGAGAGCAGGAAGTCTCACAGAGGAGGGAGTCCTCCATGTTGTCGAGCTGGGAGAGGTCTGCCAGGCCATGGCAGACTGCAACCTCTAACCAGCAAGACCTTCCAACAGGACACTTCAGGAAGTGGCCACAAAGTCATAGCCTGGGAGTCTAGAAGTGACCTTAGGTGCTGACCACAGTTCCTGACCTTAGAGGGGAGAGTGCCAAGTCACAGGGGGCAGTGTGGCTTATCAGACGCCATGGAGTTCTTTGATGGTGTCTCCACCTTAGAAAACTCCTTGTCAGTGATTATTGGGAGCAGAGGTGAAAATGCGTCTCACCGACTGCTGATTGACTTTTGGGAGTCCTTACTTCCTTAGTTTATTAGAACATGTTTCAGAAATATTTTTACTTGCTCCTTTGTTGCTTTGTCCCACCTTTAGTATCTTAGGTGTATATCTGAGGTATATTTAATATTAGGTGTGTACCTCAGCCTCACTCTTCTTAGAGTCCGTGCCCTTACCCGTGGATCACATCGCGGCGCTTCCTTCCTGTAGGCTCCTGAGCCTAGAGCCTGTCTAGAGAGGAGGGGAACACAGAAAAATAGTTCTAGAATCTACTGTCCTGGACACTGGAAAGGATTTATAAAGTACAAAAAATGACGCTTTTCATGTTTTAGTAAATGGTTTTTAGGAATTTTTATGCTGATTGGTTCATCATTGGGTTTCATGGTCTTGGTCCTCACCACTTTCCCCACTTCCTGTTTTTCCATTGAATTCCAGTTCCTATCAGGTTTCTTTCCTCCCCAGCACTCCTGTTGTTCCCTGTATTTCCACCCTTATTTCTGCATTGAAATATTAAATTTAAACATAAAAAGTTTAATGGATATAATTTAGATTATATTAAAATTTAAAATTAATCAACATATTGATACATAATTAATAACATACTACCTTATTTATTAAAAATAAATTAACTATTAAATATTTACTTTAAATATTTGTCCTTGGCATTCAGAGAGCTCTATAACTTTTGCCTCCTTGCTGTTTTTCTCAGAGCTTTCTCCCTTGCAGACATAGTAAACACTTCCTGACAATTGTGTTTCAGGTCTGGAAATGAAGACTGAAACCAGGGGCTTGCCTCCAGCTGAGGAGTACACAGAACAAAAGCCCGAGCAGCCAGTGAGCATCCTGGCTGGAGACACTGTTCAGTTTCCTGCAGGGGCAGAAGCCCGTGAGCAGGAAGGCAAGTTACAGGCAACACAGAAGAACGCCGTCAGGAACAGGCGACACTATTGCCATGAATGTGGGAAGAGTTTTGCTCAAAGCTCAGGCCTGACCAAACACAAGAGAATCCACACTGGAGAGAAGCCCTACGAGTGCGAAGACTGTGGGAAGACCTTCATTGGCAGTTCAGCCCTTGTCATTCACCAGCGGGTGCACACTGGGGAGAAGCCCTACGAGTGCGAAGAATGCGGCAAGGTCTTCAGCCACAGCTCAAACCTCATCAAGCACCAGCGAATCCACACCGGGGAAAAGCCCTACGAGTGTGATGACTGTGGGAAGACCTTCACCCAGAGCTGCAGCCTCCTTGAGCATCACAAAATTCACACCGGGGAGAAGCCTTTCCAGTGCAACTTGTGTGGCAAAGCCTTTAGGCGGAGCTCACATCTCCTGAGACATCAGAGGATCCATGGGGATAAAACTGCTCACAGGTCTTTGCGTGGAGAGGCTTGGAAAGGTCAGAGTAGGAGGGAAAGCCAGTGGGATGGTACTGAACCTCCCGTGATTCACCAGTGCAATGAGTGCGAGAGAAGCTTCATTCAGAAGCGAAGTCTTATCGAACATAAAAAAATCCACACTGGCGAGAAGCCCTACCAGTGTAACTCATGTGGGAAAGGCTTTACCCGAACTTCATACCTTGTTCAACATCAGAGAAGCCACGTGGGGAAAAAGATTGCATCACAGTGACCTGTACCATACCTGCCAGAGTTGGTACTCACTTGCCAGCGAGCTGAAGGCTCTCTGGAGCCCTTACTGACTGCAGAAGGAGGGATGTTACCAATACGCACCGGCTCGTGTTAGATGTTATAATCTGGCTGAGGTGAATTATATTTTCTGTTCTAAAAGTAATTAGAATAAGACTCGCTAATAAGGAGATATGGGAGCGTTCTCTGGATGAGGGGCCACTGAAGTCTCTTGTTCCCACTCTGTGGATCTACAAGGTCTTCCAGAACAGGTGCCCTTAGCCAGCACATTTTACTCCTGGGTGGATGGCTCCAGATATTGGGTCATATTCTTCGTATGAAAACTTGGCCTTTACCTTAGGCTTGTTTCCTACTAGCTCTTGTAACAACCTATATTTTTTAATATACAGTCTGCTGTGTAGGTCAGTTACCTCTCCTTGGTATGGTCTGGTGTGGTCCCAGTCTGCAGGCCAAATCTATGCACCTGGATTTTTCCTCCTTTTCTCTCTCCCTGGAAATCCTGCCTATCCTCTCCTGCTTACCTATTGGCCATTCAGCTCCTTAAGAAAATCAATGAGAAGGCGCCTTGGCAAAGTCATATCTTCACAGTGTACAAAAAGATTATCCCACAACATGAACTAAATCGTTCATTTTTCTGTCTCCTATTTGAGTAAGAAATTGGTTATGGTATTTTTCCCTATTCAGGTAGAATGGTAAAACCTTTCAGTGAGTGGCCCTTCTAAATTCCTTCTTTTTCCCATTTAAAATTGTTTTCTAGTGCTGGGATTTAGCCCAGGAACTTACGTATCTGACGTGCTCTACCACTGAGCTGTCCTCATGCCTCTTTTTGCTTTTTATTTTGAGATTGGACCACACTTCTTACCAAGTTGGCCAGCAGGCCTTGAATTGACTCTATAGCCCATGCTGGCCTTGAACTCACTTTGTACCTCAGGTTGGCCTTGAACTATGCACCTTCCTCAACCTCTGTAGCTGGAATTGTACCTTGAATTGATATCACCAGGCCCAGCTAGATTTCTTCTTTACCTTGGCAAGGAATGGGTATTACTGTAAAAGGTTTTCTCTGCCTCTTCCTTTACTGGAAAATAGAAATAGCGTTCATAACTTACCTCTTAAGATTGTGAGCATATGCTTATATGAGCAAGAAGTGTTAAGTGAATACTCTGGAAATGCATACTGGAGATTAAACATTTTGTCATCTAAAACCTCTACTAGAAGTCTGTTTGTTAATTGTAAAGATTGTGCTTATAGGTTTCTTACAGCTTTGGGATGCTGTTGCTCTCCTTCAATCCAATCTGTGCTATCATCGTCCTAAAGATCAATAAGGACTTCATCCACCAAGAAACTTAGGCAACTACTTTGTCTTTTAATTCATCTTTGTTTTTCTCATGAGAGTCAAAAGTAAATTCAACAGATTCATCTGAGCAAAGTTTTTTTTTTCAGTCAGCTTTATGTCCTGTCTGCACATTTCAATCATTTCTACCACAGAATGACTTGCTTTTTTGTGACTTGTATGTGTCTGTAATAGAATACTCTGACTAAAGCAGCTTACGGAAGAAAGGGTTTGTTTGGCTATCAATTCCAGGCTACAGTCTGTCATTGTGGAGAGCTCAGGGTGGCGGGAACTTGAAGCAGCTGGTCATACCACATCCACAGTCAGGAGCAGAGAGCAAAGGATCAGCGCATGCCTGCCAGTTCTCAGCTAGAGTTCTCCACTCTTAGACTTTTCAGAATTCCCTTCCTAGGGGATAGTGCCACCCACAAAGGGTGAGTCTTCCCACTGTGATTAACACAACCCAGATTATCCCTTGTAGATAGGCCAACCTAATGTAGATAATCCCTCCTTGAGTCTCCTAGAGTGATTCTAGTATCCAACCGACAAATAAAAGTAAGCGACACACTGACCAAAGAAAGATGCTTTTGCAGCCAGGCAGTGGTGGCGCACACGTTTAATCCCAGCACTCCGGAGGCAGAGGCAGGCAGATCTCTGAGAGTTTGAGGTCAGCCTGGTCTACAAGCAAATTCCGGGACAGGCTCCAAAGCTACAGAGAAACCCTGTCTCGGGGGGAAAAATGTTTTTGCATTTGTGTCTACTCATACTTTTTGCGTGGTTTCTGGAGTTAGTGATTACTCCTTGTTTAGAACACCAGTCAATCCAAGATGCTGAAGTTTGAATGTAGCAAGTTTCTGTCTTCTTTCTCGATTAAGAGTTGAACAGAGAAAAGTCAGGTGTGGTATTACAGAACTGTACTCCCAGTGTTTATGAGGTGGAGGCAGGAGCTCAGCTCCATAGTCAGTTTGAAGTCACTCTAGGATACATGAGAGCTTGTCTCAAAAACCAAAAACCAAACCAAACCAAACAAAAACAAAAACAAAAAGATACCATATTTTCATAAACTTTGTGTGTTTCTTATTAGAGTTTGGGTAATTACCTAAGAATCACATATGATTTCCAAATCCTTGAGGTGTCCATTTGCTCATTTGTTTCTCTTGAAAAACCAATTCACACAAATGCTTAGAGAGCTGTTACGGATGTAACACAAAGGAAGTGCACTGCCTTGCCCGACTAAGACTACAAAGCCCCCCTCTCCTTTCTCCTGTTGCTCTTCAGCTTCCTCTTCCTCATGAACTCACTATATGAGGAACCAGCATGGGACAATGATGCGGGACCTGGTGTGATTACCTGGGCGTGGTGGGAATGAAGGCTTAGGGGAGGAGGCTAGTTGGCCAGTTTTCATGAGTGGACCCAACTGAGACACTCACGGTCAGATCTAGGACTACCAATCTCAGTGTTCTTCCTCTTCCTGGTCACAAGCAAACCATCTTGGGCTTTCCTGGCATCCAGTTCCTGAAAGTAATGAATTTTATAATATGAATTTCATCAATACATGCAATACATATGAACTTTAAGTCAAAACACCGATAAGACAAATACCATTAACTATTGAAAAAAATGCCAATTTTAAATTTAAAACCACATTTTAAAAAAAAACCATATTCTTTATGGTTTAAAAAAACTCTGGACAGTGCCGAAATCAATAAAGTCAAAAACAGAACATTCCCATTCCTCGCCAGTCCTGTCATCTGTGGCAGCGGCTGCCACTGATAGTTTGGATTTTTGTGTTTATCTTTCTGCCATTTGTGTGACTTAGCTTTTCCTCCCACCTCATGTTAATGCTTTCACTTCATGTACTGTGTCTTAGACATCTTTAATCCTTCATATATGCTACATTTATTGGTAGAATTAAGAGTCCATAGGGCCCATGTGTAATGTTCTCATCATCGCCCACTCTTCTCAGTTTCCCCACCCCACCTCTGTTCCTTTCTTTCTCTCATTGTGCTGCAAAAATCACCAGGGTCCATAGGAACTCTGCTAAACCAAGGCGAAACCAATTAAATAAACACCATTTCATGAGAACATAATTACTGTTATTCATAATTTTATTGTGTCAACTGGAGTAGTGGCATGGATAGGCTAAACAGTGTTTTGTTTAAACAGAATCCCATTGTTTATTGCTGTGGACGCATTCTGATCTGCATGACTGCACTCGTCTCCCCCGGGGACAAGGCTGCTTTTGCTTCAAAGCAGACTGGCCTCAGAGTAAGACCCCTGCTGCCTCCGAGTAGGACTAGAAAGAGTTAATTTTAAACTCTGGCTGCATTTCTTTTATGGAATTCATACAAGCACTATAGAGAGAGATTTCCACTGCTAAATTTGAGTAGACTCAGATCTTAGGAAGCCTGACCCCCACTGGCCCCAGTGCCTTGCACAGCCAGCCTGGACCATCTGGTAACAACCACATTGTAAAACTCATTCCTTAGCAAAATAATGGGCAATGTCTACCTGACCTTGTACCACATGTGAACCTCACCCACGTAACTGTCTCAGACAATAAGACAGAACATTTGTTTTTAAAAAAAACTCCAGTAGGAAGGACTTTCCCTCCCAGTGGTGTGATCATTTCTCCCAGAACTGGCCCACCAAGGCTTTGCCGCATCTTTTTAAACCTTCTTTTCTACCTCTGGTCTTTGGTGAATTTGTTCACAGCAGGAGCATCACTAGCCTGTCCCTGTTGTTCCCAACATTTCAGCAGTGAGAAGGTACTTCTTGTATTGGTGGAGGTTCCATGTCATATTTTAACAATTCTTAAAAACCTGGAGCTCTATACATTTCTTTAGCCGTTCTCTCCAACCTACTCTTCCAAGGGTATTAAATAGGCCCATGCTTTACTTCATTTTCTTCCACATATGTAGGCAGCCATTAAGAGCACTAGCTAAGTCCTCACTGCTTTCCACAACACTCCATGCTCATTTGCAAAGCCTCGTTACAAACTTCTTGATGACTATGTAACAGGAGTAGATGTCCAATCACAATTAGACCCAGAGATGGCCTCTATTTGTAATAAGTAGGCATGATTTCCATGTTTGTGGGAAACGTCTCAAATGTCTCACCAACAGCTGGTTAGGCTCTGTAAGTAGTGTATGTGTGTTCACTAAGTAGGTCACCTACAGAGCTCAGGCAGGTGCCGCCTTAGAGTTAAGTGGGCAGCACATTGGCCTTGAGGTAAAGACATGCACGCAGGGATGTTCATTTCCTTTCCATGGATGTATAATATTTGTTACGCAGATTTATTTAGCATAATTCTACATATGGGCAACTAGGAGAGTTCAGCCCTTTTCATATTTGTAAACAATGCTGAACTAAGTAGTTTCAAGCATATATCATGCTACACACAGGTGAATTCAACTCTAGGGTACTATTGAAGAAATGAAAGATTATGTGCATTCATAAAATCTCTATGAACTGCTAACTTGACTTTCAATGAACTTGTGTAAGCGTGCTCTGTTAGAAACATAGATACATACTTCAGGTGTTTCCTCAGTTACAAGTCCCTCTCTTCCCACTTAGCTCTAGCTTGTATCAAGTTGACATAAAACTAATCAGGATACCCAGAGAACAGGAGGAAGGAAAAACCGAGGAATTAGATCTGCAGCAAAAAGGATAACGGGAGTCTAAGGTGGCAGGATCTGCTGCGGGCGGGAGTAGTACCTGTACTGGCACCAGTAGGATGGCACCAGTCTTCTTGCCCTTCTCCACCAGTCAGAAAGCTAGCAAATCTTTGCAGTTAGGGATTCTATCTTTTAGCTGTTTTAGAGTGTGAGTGTGTATATGTGTGTATATATATTTATATGTGTGTATATGTGTGTATGTGTGTTTATGTGTGCATGTGTGTGTGCTTGTGTGTGTAAACCAGAGGTCACATCAGTTGTCTTTCTCAGTCACTCTTCCTCTTGTTTTATGAGACAAAATATCATACTGAACCTTGATCGGCTGTCCAGCAAGCCCCGCGATCCTGTTTTTAAAGCACTGGGATTCCATAGGTTCTGAGTGTCCTTTGTCAACTCAGGTACAGGAAGCATCTTCTCAGCCTTTTTTTCTTTCTTTCGTCCTGAGTCTGAGGCTCTGTGCTGGCCAGGCTGGCATCAGTCTCCTCGGTCAGGTAAGCCTTGCACTCTTACACTCACCTGATCTCTGCTAACTCCAGCCCCAGCCATTTACAGTTTCAGTCACTCATTTCCCAGTCCTTCCATATCTGGCCCTCACCCTCCACAGCATCCCCCAAAAAAGAAATTTAAAATATTAATTAGAACAAAACAAAACAAAACAAAAACCCTACTTCGCTCCTCTATCTTTCCCTCTTCTACAACACATCTTCAATCCTCTTAGTGGCCTCGGGAGCTGCAGTGCGTCACATAGTACACCCTTTTGTCCACTCAGCTTTACTTGCAAATGTACCCGGAAGCTTAATGTTCCATCATTTGCACACTTTATTTCACGAAAGATGCACAAGTCTAGTAGCAGTGCATGGCGTGAGGGGTAATGAAGGAGAAGTTTTGCTGTGTAGATTTTTATATTTTTCGAATTATGTGAATGCAGTACTTGCCCAAAATAGAAACAATAAAGTAAAAATGTGAGAACACAGGCTATTCATTTTCTCTTTTAAAGATCAGCTGAGAGTAAGCGACAAGTAGAAACTGTGCAGTGCTGGTATTCTTTCTCCAGGAAGAAATCTTCAGGATTAACAGGGACTGTTGAGTAGAACGGGCTTTTCTGTTTGTGATATCTCCAAGAGAAACACACATGTTCTTGACAAAGGCAGGGTCTGTGTACAAAGATGGTAGCTTCCAAAGTTAGCAAGGAGTC